ATAACATTTTACATGGATTTAAAAAATATTAGTCAGACTTACATTATTGTGCACTTGAACTTTTGTGGAAGAGCATAGTATTTTCCCATGTTGTTTTAAAATCATAACCATATTCTCAATTTACCGTACACTAGTTAATCTAAACCCCTAAGTATACAAATATAGACATTTAAAATTGTTATAGGTTTGTCTGTAAGTGACTTTGTTTACCCTCTGCTAGTTGGTATTTCCTTTTATTTTTCTTAAAATTATCTCCTTCAGACTTCACAAGTTTACCCTGCCTTCAGTATTCTCAAAATGCACAAAATAAGTCTTTATTCATTTATATTCCCTTTTTGTCATTGCTTTCTTTTGTTGAACCCTTTAAACAAGACTTCTCTGAGTTCTTTATCTGCCTGGGTATTCTTTTAGATCTGCCTGCCCTTTCAAGATGATCTTGCTCATTACCTTACTTTTTACTACAAACTATGTGCTGACTACCACCAAATCCATCTTTTTCATCCTTTAGTACTAATCCCTCCTCTGAGCTTCAGACTCAGATATACAGTAGGTCTTCTTGCAAGTCCCATGGGCATCACAATTTGAAACAGGTTCAAAACCGGACTCTTAATTTTCCTTTTGTGTATTCCTTTCCTCAGGTTATGGCACTGTAATATAGGTATTTATTCAAAGCAGATCATATAAATTATATCAGAATTCTGTTCTCTCAATCCTTACATCTAATTAATCATTAAATTCTATTAGTTTTACCTCCATATGTCTCAAATAGTTGCCTTATCTCTCTATGTTGTTAACTATTAACCTTACTTCAAATCTAATGCCTCTTTTATTTAAACTAATGCCAATAATGATGAAACTAGTGTACATACTCAGTAAAGATCAATGGCACAAAAAGTCTTAATAATTAGATAGTTGGAGACTTTAAAGACTTACTATAAAGCTACATTAATCAAGGCAGTGTGATATTGGTATAATGATGGACAGATAGATCACTGTGGAGTCTGAAATAGAATTACACATATGTGGTCATTTGATTTTATACAAAAATGCCAGTGAAATGGGGAGAGGTTAATCTTTTTTAAAAAATGGTGCTGGAATATTTGGATATCCATGTAGAGAGAGGAAAAAAATACAGACTCCCTTACAACTTAAATGAAAATTAACTTGATCTGGATCATAGATACCAACATACAACATAAAATTATAAAATTTTGGAAGAAAACAGAAAATGTCCATCATATTGGGTGAGGCAAAGATTTCTTAGGTGTGATATCAAAATAGAAGAAGAAAAAAGTTGATAAACTGGACTTCTTCAAAATTAAAAAGTTCTGCTCTTTGAAGTGAATTCTGAAGAAAATGAAAAGGCAAGTAACAGACTGGGAGAAATGAGTTACAAAACATGTATCTGACAAATGACTTGTATGCAGAATATATATAAAGTATTAAAACTCAATAATAATTCTAAAAATTCTAATTTAAAAATGGGCAAAAGATTTGAACATACCAGTCATGAGACTGGAGGAAGGGCCAGTAAACGCATGAAAAGATGCTCATCATCTTAGTTAGGAAGGCTGTGTAATCCCCTTGTTTTAGTGTGAGACCTCGTTCTAGTGTTTAGATGTTCCTGTCGATCCACAGTCCAGATATTCTTTGACTTAATTTCTCTGAGAAGTAACTTTTTTCCCCAGACTTCTGGGAAAAGAAGTGATTTGACTCTTTAAGAACTGCATATTAAAAATTTTTTTTCTAAATATTCTGTCAAGACTTCAAAAAGCATCAGCTATTCTATAATTTTTGTTAATCACCTCAAGCATTCTATCATAGGGCCTTCTGTTCATTCTGGACTGGGTGCTACTTGTCCTGGTCGCAGCTGCCATCCTGAGATTAATTAATCATCATCTGGTTTACTACTGTTTCTGTGAAGTTTGTCCCCAAAAACTCTCTGAAAGGAAACCTGGGAGACCAACTTTGAGATGGTGCCTGTGTGACCCTTCTGCCCTGTGTTTGGTTGTTTACTTGGGTGTTGGGAGAGTATTCTATGTTGGAATACATTTTCTTCAGGACATTGAAGGCATTGTTCCACCTTCTTCTAGCTTCCATTGTTGTGATTGAAACACTCAAAGCTGTTTTAATTCCTGATTGCTTTGAGGTGGCCTGTTTGGTTTTTTTCCCATTTAGGTTTATTTTCATTCACTGTTTCAGAAACCGTTTGGGTTCTTTCCACCTGGAAACATCTTCAGTTCTTAGAGAGTTCCTTAAATTATTCTTGTGATAACTCCTTTCACTCCATTTCTCTGTTCCCACTTTTTAGAATTCTTTTATTTTCACTTGGGGCCTTCTGGTCAGATTCTCTGATTTTCTTATGTTTTCTCAACCTTTTTCTTTCTCTATTTTTTGCTCTATTTTCTTCAAAATTTCCTCAATGTTATTTTCTAATTCTGCTATTGAGGTTTTCATTTCTGTTACATTATTTCTCAGGAGTTTTTTTTTTTTTCAGCCTTTAAATGTTTCCTTTTGGCAGTGTCCCTTTTTTGTTTGTTTCATTGTTGCAGTATCTCCACTTAGCTCTCAGGGGATATTTTATGAGATTTTCTTTCCCCAAATATAAATATATTTTATTATTTATTTTTTACTACTTGGTTGCTTTTTCTAATTTATTCACAAAAGAAGCTTTCTTTTTGTGTCTGGTCATCATCACTGGAAATCTGAATATGGGAAAGGGACTTTTGTATTGTGAGCTTCACAAGCGGGTTATTTGGACTCATTTGAGTAACATAGTCAAAAGATTTCACCTGGTATGTCAAAGTAAATCCATTGACATATAATAAATTTTCAAAAGCAATAACATTTCCAGATAATTGATGGTTATGTTCACATTCAGTGTTTCCAAGATAATTTTTCAAGTACCTGACTTGGAAACTAAAATATCAGAAAACAAATGTAATTTCATACTGTAAAACCTTAGCATAATTTTTTTCTCAAGGCATTTTGGAACCACATTAATATAAATATTTAGGTAAAGCAGTGTCTTGCCAATGGGTTTCAGCTCCAGGCAAGTTTACTATGGATTCAGTGAGACCGAAAATGACAATGGAATGTTCTTGGAGTGAAAGGGTTTATACCCAATTTTATTCCCACAGTGGCAGATCAGTCACTAGAATTCCCATCCACTCAGAGTGAGTCTGGATGCAGCAAGCTGGTCTCTGCCTCTGGGCCTCTCTGCCCCTGCAGCCGTCTCAGTCTCTGTCCTTGGTGCTGCCACCACTGCAATCTTTGCTCTCCTGCAGCCATGCAGCTTTGCAGCCATGCAGAAGCCCAGAACACTGGGCAGACTTCTTTATATAGTCAGTAACAATGTATTGCCCACACGTGTGTAGTGAGCTAGCTGAGCAGGGCCAGATGAGAATCCTGGCCATAGGAACCTTCACTTTACCCACAAGCAGCTAGCCATTTTTATTGTTTAAAAAACCTGTCAGTATTTCTTAACTTTAAAGAGTAATTTGAAATATGAAAAAAGTGAAAGCTACATAAAGGATAATACTATTGATAACTGAATGTTTACAAAAAGAAAATATTCAACATTATGTGTGCCCATGTACTCTCAGACTAATGAACTTTTAGTAAGACACATTGACCACTGTGCTACTCCTTTTTCTGGCCTGATTTGAGAAGAGATTTGTCTTGCCTGAGGGTTTCAGCCTCAGGCAAGTTGGCTATGGATTCAGTGACAGAGAAATGATATTGAAAGTTCTTAGAATAAAAGCATTTTTCCCTGGCTTTATTCTCACAGCAGGAGATCAAGCACTAGAATCACATCTGTATCTAGCAGTCTGCAGGGCCATAATCCACCTCCCTCTCTGCCTCCTCCAGAACACTGGGCAGAGCTCTTTATATAGTGACTCAGACTATAATCGCTTCTTGCCTACTGGTGTGGCTTCGCAGTAAGCCAATTATATCATCAAGTAATTAGGGTCAGGTGAGGTTCCTGGCCAGAACATCCATTTTCCCCACAAGGTTTTTCTAACGCCATAGCTAATTGTATTGCCTAGCAAAGACCCAGAGGAATAACTATTCATCTCATATTATGTTAATAATTTTAGTTAATTATAAATAGCAGATTTTTTATTGTTACTTTATAAAGTACAGCCAGGAGAGAGAGCTTAAATACAAAACTAACTTCTAAACCTTACAACTGTAGGTTTGTGATATAAGGAAAGTACAAATAAAATGTTATAAGAACTCAGAATAGGGATCACTTCCTATTGGAAGAGCAAGTTAATAAAAGAAGGAACATATCAGCTGGGCCTTTCAGGATGATTCTGATATGTGGAGATGGAGAAAATAACTTCCCTTATTGAGGAGAAGTAAAGATACAAAGGTGGAAATGCTTGTGGAATGTGGAAAATTCCTGAGCTAATGTGTAAGGTACTTAAAGGTAACAGTGGGATATAAGGAAAAGTTGGTTGGGTCAGTGAAGCTCAATTTTGGCTGTAGATTGGAACCACCTGGCAAATATTTAAAATTTTCTGTGCCCTACCTTCACCCAAATTAAGTGTATCAAATATTAAGCAATAGTGTCTTGCCAATGGGTTTCAGTCCCGGGCAAGTTTGCTATGGATTCAGTGTGACCAAAGAAATGACAGTAGAACGTTCTTGGGGTGAAAGGGTTTATTACCCGGCTTTTTCTCCAGATGGTAGGTCAAGCACTAGCATCTCTCCCTCTGCCCAGAGCACAATAATAGCTCTTGATATAGCCGCAATAATACCTAATTGCCTAGAACAGTCCAGTTACATTATCAGGTGGTTTAAGTTCAGTGAGGATCCTGGCCATAGGAACCCCAACTTCCCCGCAAATGGGACACCAGGTAGTAGTTTTTGTATATCTCCCTAAATGATTGTAATTAGCTGAGAACTACTGTTTTAAGGACTCTTGAAAGAGTTCTTGAATAATTCCCTAATTGGTTTTTCAATTAGTAAAAATAAACCAAATACAAACATTCATACCATTCAAGTGTTTTTGCATATGCGGGACCCTTGATGTTTACATTCATGAGCAGTCATATGTTATTGATATATAATTCAGTGTTCTTTGAATCTTTACTAATTTTTGTTCATATATTTGCTATATTACTGTGTCATGATTTCAATTAATTTTTGTCTAAATACAGAAACACAAAATTCTAATATACTACAGCCTCTAAGAATTATTTGTCTCTACTATCAGAATTGTGGGAGACTATTTTAGGTGTTCTCATTTGTGTTCTCATTTGTGAAATGAGCATAATAGTATTAACCTATCTGGGTCATTTGTTGCAAGTATGTGGAGAAAGTGAAGGTTCTTGTGGCCAGGATTCTCACCTGGCCCTGGTCGGCTAGTTCACTACACACGTGTGGGCAATACATTGTTGCTGACTCTGTATAAAGAGCTCCAGCCAGTGCTCTGGGCTGCTACACTGCCGCACGAGAGCAGAGACTGGAGTGGTGGCAGCATGGAGGGCAGAGACTGAGATGGCTGTGCAGGCAGATAGGCCCAGAGGCAGAGACCGGAGTGGATAGGATTCTAGTGATTGACCTGCCACTGTGGGAATAAAGTTCGGTATAAACCTTTTCACTCCAAGAATATTCCATTATTATTTTTTTGGTCTCATTGAATCCATGGTGAACTTGCCCAGGGCTGAAATAGTGTCTTGCCAATGGGTTTCAGCCCTGGGCAAGTTCACCATGGATTCAGTGAGACCAAAGAAACGACAGTACAACTTTCTTGGGGTGAAAGGGTTATACCCAGCTTTATTTCCATGGTGGCAGGACAGTCACTAAAATTCCGCCCACTCAGAGCGAGTCTGCACACAGCAAGCTGGTCTCTGCCTCTGGGCCTATCTGCCTGCACAGCCATCCTGCACAGCCATCCTCTGGGCCTCTCTATCTGCACAGCCACCTGCTCTCCTGCAGCTGTGCCTCCGTGTCCCACAGAGCACTGGGTGGAGCTCTTTACATAGTTAACAACAATGCATTGCCCACACATCTGTAGTGAGCTAGCCAACCAGGGTCAGGTGAGAATCCTGGCCACAGGAACCCCCATTTTATCAACATATGTATTATGATTATATTCTAAATTATGCATTTCTGATTTGTTTCATTTCTATGTAATAAGCATTTATTGCTTTGCTATTCAGAAAAAATTAAAGCACAGAAACTTCCTGATAGTAAACATAAATTATATCATTGGTTTCCCAGGCATTTTAGAAACTTTCATGTCAATTGATATTAGAAAAGCATGTAATAAAAAATTTTTATTTTAAAATAACTTATATTTTTGCTATCATGCTTTTAAATATTGTATGCATTATATGATTGAAATGCCATTTAAATATTACTATAGGATGCAAGTGAGCAAAAGACAGAACTTGAAAGACTAAAGCACAAAATAGCAGAAGAAGTTGTTAAAATTGAAGAAAGAAAAGACAAAATTGATGATGAATTAAAAGAAGTACAGGTAAGTTTTAAAAAAAGGAAACATTTTAAGAGCCATTTACATTTTTGACTACTGATTATATATAGGAGTTTAAACATTTGTGAAGTTATTTTCTAATCATATTATCAAATATGGCTTTCAACTAGAATATTATTTATACAAGAGAAGCAGGAAGGAAAATGTGCCAGAAGTAGGCAAGTTAACTGGTGGTAATAAAAAAATGTTTGCTTTCCATGATCCATGCTGTTTTAACTAAAGAGGAAAAAAAATTGTATTGTAGGTAAATTAAGTCAAATTCTTTTTTCTCAAGACTTGACTAAATTAGCCAACTAGTTTTAGAATATAAAGAGCCTCTTGAAAATGGCAAATTATCTCAAAATAAGTTAAATCTTCCAAATTAGATTGTTGTGTTTATCGTGGCAAGAACTCTTACTCTCAACTTAAACATTTTGTACTTTGTGTGTTTTAGAGCATTTTGATATTTGAAGAGAAAGGGTATTAGTAACAAGTCATTTTTAACAAAATGACAAGTATTCAATAATTTATAAAGACACATTTTCTCATGTGTGTGTGTGTGTGTGTGTTTTGCAAATAAAAATGCTCTTTTTGTCTTTCAGCCTCTAGTCAATGAAGCTAAGTTAGCAGTTGGAAATATTAAGCCAGAATCTCTTTCAGAAATTCGCTCATTGCGTATGCCACCTGATGTAATCAGAGACATTCTTGAAGGAGTTTTAAGGCTGATGGGTATCTTTGACACATCTTGGGTGAGCATGAAAAGGTAAGTTTTTGAATTTGTGAAAAATGTTTTTCATTAATGAATTGCACATTATTTCATAGTTTTAATATTTCTCATTGTTTTTCAAACTGAATTTCATCTAAGTACCTAGTTATACTCTTCACCCTGGTATTTCAAATATTCTATGTAATCGTATGTCAAGATCTATATTTTCTTTTCTTCATAAGTGATTACTATTATTATTATTATTGTTATTATTAAACATGTCAAAGGAGAAGAAAAGGGATGCCTTAATATCTTTAAGGAGATCCCAATAAATATAATCATTTATTTGGTCCTCACAAGTACAGATCATTACTCTGATTTACTGATGAAGAAAGTGTATTTAGTATTCTTAGAGTCTTCTGCTCTGGCAGAGACTGAGAGAGACAGAGAATGAGATTGAGAGTTCCCCAAATAATATGAGAGATGTAAACTGGGAGAGAAAAGCCTGCATATTAGTTAAATATGCAACCATATAGCTTCAGGTTTCACATCACAATCGTATTGTGGTTTGTGCTGGTAATTCAATTCCATTTTAGAGTTTAGAATGATAGTAGAGTCCTTTTTCTATGTAAAGACAGGAGAGATTTAGTTTGAGGAAGCACTTTTAAAATACCTTTCTTTGAAAGGAGCCAAAAGATTTTTTTACATATTGTACAAATGAATACCCAGTAGTTCACATAAAGGGATGTGAGTAGAATAACAGAATGGTAATTCCTTCATTTCACTGCTCCAGATTATTTGCAGAACAATAGAAAAACTGTTTCATCATTGTTTATAAAAAAAATAGCAGTACATTAGAAGCTTAAATACCTTAGCACCCTTTTTTTTGTTAATTTATAGATTAAAAGTATTGCATACACCATTTTGTTAAATTGATATTTTTGTCATAATAGCAAAATTTATTTAGCCTTATTTGAAGTAATATGCTTTAATTTCAGTTTCCTTGCAAAAAGAGGTGTGAGAGAAGACATAGCAACCTTTGATGTACGAAATATTCCAAAGGAAATAAGAGAGAGTGTTGAAGAACATCTTTTTAAAAACAAAGGATCTTTTGATCCAAAGGTAATTTTTTTATTTTGGTATCATAATCTACAATTACATGAGGAACATTATGTTTACTTGACTCCCCCCTTCACCAAGTCCCCCCCACAAACCCCATTACAGTCACTGTCTATCAGTGTAGTAAGATGATATAGAATCACTACTTGTCTTCTCTGTGTTATACAGTCCTCCTTGTGCCCCCCACCACATTATATATGCTAATCTTAATGCCCCCTTTCTCCCCCCCCCCACTTATCCCTCCCTTCCCACACATCCTCTCCAGTCCCTTTCCCTTGGTAACTGTTAGTCCCTTCTTGGGTTCTGTGATTCTGCTGCTGTTTTGTTCCTTCAGTTTTTTCTTTGTTCTTATACTCCACATATGAGTGAAATCATTTGGTACTTGTCTTTCTCTGCCTGGCTTATTTCACTGAGCATAATCCAAAGGTAATTTTTAAGTTATACCATAAATTCCCTTCCCAACTTTATAATAATCTTCTTGTTAAAATGTGCTGATTTTATCAATTGCTTAGATCATTAGAAAACTAAAAGTTAAAAAAAATAAGCTGTAGGTATCATAAGTAGGACACATTTACCAGCAGTTTTAGGTAAACTAGAAGCTTGGTTAGTGGGGTGGATATTCATTACCGTAAGTAGTTTTTGAATTTGCTCTCTGTTGCCAATTTAAGTTCTCAGTCCATCATTTTTAACTTCCAACTCATCTGGTATGCTTTTCTTTCTTCCTGTGTACTTGCCATACTGTAACAGATATCTGTGTTATGATACTTGTATCTAATTTTAATGTTTATTAGGCTGCTTGTATCTAATTTTAGTGAAAAGTTTAAATTCTATGATTCTGATATTTTTTAGATTCCTTATTCAAAATGTTATGTACATCTTTGACACTAGAGCATTGGTTTCAGAACTACTTTTATCTAATAGAAATGCATCGCATGAATAGAAGAGAAAGAATTGATGCTTAAACATTGTGGTTGGATATTCATCATAAGTGTGACTAATAGAGTACACATGTTGATAAAATACCACTTTATTAAAGACTGTGATTCATATTTATTTTGAAACAAAGAGTATATTAAAATAACAGTTCATTTTATTTTTATTTTAGCTCTAAACAAATACTTCATTTTTGGAGATAAATTATTCAATAAATGCTTAATAAAATATATTAGAATTAACTTTGATATTATTTGAAATTAAGTTAGGATGCTGGATAACTTCTGATGGATTTTTTAGACTGCTAAGCGTGCCAGTACTGCAGCTGCACCTTTGGCTGCCTGGGTTAAAGCAAATGTCCAGTATTCCTATGTCTTGGAACGAATTCAGCCTTTGGAAACTGAACAGGCAGGATTAGAATCGTAAGTGATATATAAAATATATACAATTCTAACCTTTACTTTCAGCAATTTGATGACTTAGTTATATTATTACATTTATTTAAGATTTATTTCTTGTCTACAACTAGAGGCAGCTGACAACATTAAAACATATAAAATGAGTTAATTAAATAAAAATATTAAACCAACTGAGAAAAGAAAAAGCAACTAGAGGGAGATGAGTAGCCCAACCAACTCACTTTTTCCTAACCATTATTATGTTGTTGGAAGGATAAGTTGGTAGAAGTTCCTTTAGAAAGAGTTAAAGATTTATAAAGGAATAATGCTAAAGAGCAAAAAATGGAAATTTAGTACTTTCATATTTATTTTTTCCTTCTAAGTTCTAGAAACTGTTTGGTATATATCTTCCAAAACATCTGGGGATATAGAGGGAAAATTTAACCATTTACATTCAGGACTTAAATTTTTTAATTTGTTATTGTTAATAAGTCAGCATTGCATTTTCTCTCATTAGTTCTAAATGTAGACTAAGGGAACGTTATGTTCTTGACTGTTTAATCTTATTCTAGACAAGATTTTTAGCCACCTAAACCCTGTTAATTTTCTCAATGTAATTACAGGAATCTTTTGTGTTAAGTCATATTAAATGTGCACAGTATTTTGACTATATAAATATTTTTCACAGCAGAGCCATCATATCATGTTTTATGAATGTCCTGTGAAGAACCTACTGTCTTGTAGTGATTCTCAGAGTGTAGTCCCTGAGCAGCAGCATCACTGGGGAACTTGTTAAAAGTGCACATTTTTGAGCTTCTTCCGAACTTACTGAGTTGGATATGCTGGGGGGTGAGGCCTTACAGTGTGATTTGACAGACCTTCCAGTTGATTTATGCAGTGCCCAAATGCCTAGCAGTAGGTAGCAGTGTGGGATGGCTGGCCGTTAACGGCACTCTCAATATTTGTGTGGGAGGAGGTCAGTCAGTTCCCCAGGAGAATCCTCATAACTTCTGCCTAGTGTGTGGTCAGGGATGGGTGGGGGTGGGGGAGGAGACAAGCTTGTCTTCCAGGAATGTGTCAAGAGGATAGTCTGCTCTCAGTGGGGGAGAGAATCCGAGGTGAAAGTTTTTATAATATCAACTTAATCAAATAATCCTCTGTATTTAGCTCTATTATATCAAAGATGCCTGTTGTCTACTTTTCCTGAGTATTTTGGAATTCTTTTGGCCTCTCTTCCTTCACTTGTTTAACTTTTGGCTTTTTGCATTCTATAAGATCATTTACCACTTTTAAAACTATTAAGATTATTCTTTGCAATAATTTTTTCCTTCATTCTCTTTCCCCTTGTGCATTTATATGTTTTTTATTCTCTTGGTTTCATTTTGGTAAGGTTTTAGAGGGGATAGAAGACAAATGAGTAAGTTTAACACTTTTATTCAGAAGTCTACATGCACAGTTTTTAAATATAGGCTCAAAGTGGTATGGTTAAGTCAAAGAATGCACTTTTAATTTTATAATTTCTTTTCAAATAAAATTCTACTAATGCTATTGTAACTATTGAATTAGGCATAGTTTTCATTGTCATTTATTTACTGTAAGGTTACATTTTAAGCTGTTATTGCTACTTTTTGTTGATATCTGAAATAGAATGATTTATATGAACTTGGATTGTATTTTAGAAATTTGAGGAAAACTGAAGACAGAAAAAGGAAACTAGAGGAGCTTCTTAATTCTGTTGGTCAAAAAGTATCAGAACTCAAAGAGAAGTAAGTTAAGTTTTAGAATATATTTTGGATGTTTAAAAACATACCTCAAGTAATTTTTTAAATTTGAGAATGTTTTTGTGATTTATCGCTCTAAAATGGGGAAGGTTGTAAAATACAGGAGGTATTCCTTTTAAAATTTTTTTGTGGGAACAAAAATATTTTAACTCTCCGTTTATATATTCTTTACTATAAATATATTCCCAAGAATGGGAGTACTGAGAAGAGAAATCAAATGTGTTTACATTTGATATTCCCATTTCATTGTTATTTTGACTTTAAGATTTTAAGACTCCTTTATTTCAGATGATGCTCTAGGACCACTTATTCTATGATCTTCTTGAGTGTAGATGATAATGTTAAAAAAATTCTGTTCTTTTAATTTTGTACTTTTTGGGGTTCAAAAAATATTCTTCATGCAAATGTATTCAAATTTAAGGACCATTTATGAATATTATCAACATAAAATTTTTCATGTGCCTGGAGGTTCCCGTGGTTGCTATTTAGTGTAGGATAGAAAATATTGGTATAAGAATTATTATAAACAAATATGGGAACATTTTATTTTAAAAATTGTGAAGATTGGAAAAGTAGAGACTATGCAATTAAATATAGTGTATGTTATCAATTACTTTCAGTTTTATGAAACTATTCACTTTTCTAAAAACACACTTTTTTTTAAGTGGTGTGTTACATTTCCTTTTTTTTCTTATGGAAGATTTTCTTTAACCAGTAAACAATTATTTCTTTTATATTTATATATATATTTACTTTAAGAGGGAAAAAATCCAAAAGAAAACATCAAACCCATAAATCCAGTGTGTTCACTATTGTTGAATAGTTTTTTATTTAGATATATAGGAAAGAAATCATATCTCTTTCTTCCTGTAATTAGAGAAGTATAAGGAAAATAATGTGTTCTTTTCAGTGTCATATGCTGAGGATCAGTAAATAATATTCAATTAATTGTCAGATATTTACTGAGTAGTTAGCATATGGTAGCAATGTTCTGACTCCATTTATTAGATGTGACAGGTAGTTGTAGGCACTTTACATATTTATATTTTTTAGTACTTAATACTGGGAGGTAGATATTCTTCCATTTTATAGCCTAGGAAGGTTTCTTTGCCTAAATTGAGTGGCTAGTAAATGACTAAGCTAGCAGTAGATCCTAGATTTATCTTAATTTTAAGTAAAACAGCAGTAGATTCTAGATTTAACTTAATTTTAAGTAAAACAAAATGACATTTTTACATTTCATTATCAAGAATGAATTAGTGCGGTTAACATGCAGTTACTTATGATCCTTAATTAGGACTTAATTGATTCTAGATTGTGAGGGACAATCTTATTTTCTTGGATATTTACAAAGAATAAGGGAGTTGAAAAATAAGCATGACCTATAAATTTTTAAATTCTAATTGACAAAATTGAAACATTTGCCATTTTTAATACAAGTTGTACAGAAATGTACAAGTTAATTTAATTCAGCAAATAATTATCTCAAAACCATATACAAGGTATAGTATGAGTTGTTGAGGTGAATAAATATGTAGTTTGTTTTCAGATCTAGAACAGAGCTGTCCAATGGAATTTTATGAGGTGATGGATATATTCTATAATCTGTTACCATATCCAGTATGGCAGTCACTAGAGATATGTGGCGACTGAGCACTTGAAATGTGGCTAATAAGACCAAGGGATTGAATTTTAAATTATATTTAATTTAAACTAACTTAAATTTAAATAGCCACATGTTGCCAACTACCATATTGGACAACTCAATTTTGAATCTTATGTCTAGGGGAGAAAGGAATTGGGCACTTAGGCAATAAGATGTACTGTAAAGCACATGGAACTTAATAATAACAGACACATCATATATGAATTTTAGATTCTCTACTGATTATTGGTGAGACTTGTGGAATAATCTGTTTAACTCTAAGTTTCCATATTTATAAAATGAGAATAACAATACTTAATTTGAAATGTTCTGATAATTTAATGACCTGCTACTTTTTTTCTTTTTTTGATGCTTAGTATAATCCTTGTCATTTTGTAGACAGTTATGTATTTATTGAGGGTCTAAGTAATCATGTGTAATATTACCATTATATTTAAGAAAAAAATTTGTACAAGTATTTTTTAAAGAAAAAGAATTATAAATTATATATATCTCTCCCTATATGCCCATTTGCCAAAGTGCCCTTATATATATATATA